GCTGGATTTTAAATGGGCTCAAGAATTGGATTTTATTTTTCTTTTGAAAATCAAATAAATCAAAGGTGGAGATTGTTGCTTGGGGCTCAAGACAAATCCAATGGCTCATATTCATTGAAGATTACTATAAATAGGGGTAGAGAGTGAGGGGTTAGAGGTGTGAAAATTTTGTAAACTCCTTTTGGAGAGGAGGGCTACTCTTAATTGAGAAGGCCTTCCAAAAATTGTAACTTTAGTTGCAATTAATAAAAATAATTTTTTCCTCTTTAAATTTGTTCTTTCTCCTCTTGTTGAATGATGAGGATGGAGATGAAGAGCAATTTGAAGGTTTGCATTTCTTTTCTCTTTTATTTCTTTTTAGTAATTTCTTTATTATTGCTTATTAGTTAGATTTAAATTCATGCTTGTAGTGTAGATTTATTTTCTTGTCTTTTTTATTTCTTTTTGCACTTTAATTTGTAGAGTAGATTTATTTTTCTTGCATTTAATTTCTGCAATTTATTTTGTAGTTTAGATTTTTATTTTCTTTGTAATTAGATTTATTTCTTGTTCATAGTTTAGATTTTTCTTTTCTTTTTATTTTTGTAATTAGTTCTTTTTCTTGTTTTTATTTCTTAAGATGTGAATTTAATTCTTGTAGGAATCTTAGAATTGTATGAAACTAGTCTAATTTCCTTTATATTGTATGAATTATTCTCTTGTACTTAAAATGTTCATGTTTAGGATAATCAACTAGAGAACTAATCGGTAGAAGAAGAATTTGATAATCTATGCTTATCTTAAATGGTTTGATAGGTTATGCTTATGAATTCTAGGATTATTATCATGTTGTTGTTCTTATCATGAATAGTAATTTTAGCTTAGATGATAATTTGATAGGTTACACTTTCCTTAAATGGTTTGATAATCTATGCTTAATAAATCTAAGTTGAAATATGATAAAAAGAGAATAGTTTATATTTTGTAATTGAAATTGGTTAGTTGATTATATTCTAGATTTCTTACCTCTTTTGAATCCTTCATCTTAACTTTCTTAAATTTCCTTTTCATTCTTAGTTTTATTTCTTGATTTTATTAATTCATATTTCACTAGTGGGAAAATAGGTTTTGTTGACGGCAACATCACTGACGGGATAATGCCGTCAGCGATGTTTATATCGCTGACGGGATTAGCCGTCAGCGATGTTGCCGTCACAAATTTTTCAAAGCCGTCAGCGATACAAACATCACTGACGGGATATGAACATCACTGACGGGTAGCCCGTCAGCGATGTTGGCTGCCCTGTTCCAAAATTTTCCCCCGCGAAAATTCCCCCCTTGTTAAAAACTTCCCCCTTCTCAAATTCCCCCTCCCCCTACACACACACAAAATCCTCCCCCCTTTCACAAATTCCTCCCTCCTACTCGCGGCGAAAAATTCCCCCCATCTCCCCTCTCTCTCTCGCCGACCCACCCCGCCGCCCCCTCGACGGAATCACCTCGATGGATCTCGACACCGAGAACGGGCACGCGATCGAGGAGCTGAAGTCCGAGAAGAAGAAGGAGAAGAAGAAACTGGATTCATTGGAGGACGAGACGGAGAAGAGCGAGAAGAAGAGGAAGGCTGATGATGATGACGAAGACGAGGAGACCTCGCCATGAGAATTGTGCATGACCCATTTCTCTATGTCCTCGTTCTCGGCCTCCCTCTGTCGTTTTCCTACTCTTGGTTGTCCAATTGGGCTCTGCGCAGGCGATTTCTTGATTCTGGTTCTGGGGTGAGCTTAAATATCGCAATTTGGTTAAGTTTTGGGACATGGGTTATGGGATTTTTGAGACAATATATGAAACATCACAACACCTATTTTTGTTTTTCTTTTCCTCCAGGATCCATGTACCATGGTTCCCCTTTGCTACTGCCGATTCTTGGGCCATTGACTGTGAAGAGGTAAGAGACAGTAGTAGTGTTGCTTTATGTTCTTATCTATACATGGTTTATTTAAAATACCTGAAATTTACATTTCTTAAAATTTTTATATGAAAAAGTTGCAAAGACAAAAAAGACTGTCGTCAATGTTAACAGATAGTGTGTTTATGTCAAATTAAAATCACAAGACTCAGGGAAATTGGGCTTTTCCATACAGGGCTTTTCAGGGAAATTGGGCTTTTCCATCAAGATGAAGATAGTGTGTTCTTATCTATACAGGGCTTTTCCATGGGTTCTGTTCTATAATTTTCCAAACCAACTTTTTCTTATAGTCTGCAGTAGGAAGCACACATGACATGAAGACTAATCTTAGGAGCTTGACTTTGTTAATGTCTTCAATTTACCTAGGTAAGTTCTCAAACAAATTTATGTGTGTGTGTGTGTTCTATATATATTCCAGTTCATTGCCAACAAATTGGTTGAATTGATCTCTTCAATTTACCTTTTTTTCTGTACTCAGGGAAATTGGACACTTGAGACTTGGCATCCCTTGTATTCTTATGGAATCCTTTGGCAATAATCACCTGTGTTGGCTCATCAACATCACCAATTGACAATTTGATGGTCGTATTGGCCATCTATGGAGCTTGTTCACGTAAGAAACAAAACTTTCCAAAGCCAGGCCTTTTGTCATGCAGCTATTTGTATCAATCATGCAGAATTTCTCTATGACTTGATTTTATTTTGTTTTATTTTATTTTATTGTCTTTTGTCTATTTTCAGAAAACTAACCTACTTATTCTGACTACATTACATTATGGCCATTCTTACTGTTAGCAGGAAACTAGTATGAACATGCGATGGTGGCCAAAAATGTGGTCACAAGAAAGTCATAGGAGTTGTTAATAAACAAGGAAGACTAAAGGTAGGCCTAAGTCACTTGGATGAGGCAATTAAAAAGACTATTGTAGTGGATAAATTAATTGAGGAGAGAAGCCTTAGTGAAACTAAATTAAGAAAATGGATCCAGGTAGCTTAGCCTAAAACTTGCGATAAAATATTTTTTTTGCTGTTCCAAGAAACACAGGTATTTCTATTGGGAAATCATAGAGTTTCATATGCTTTGATAAAGAAACTAGTTTTAGTATGCATGGAATTCAAGCATTGTCATTTGGAAACGTCCATTCACATTTATGTACCATGAAAAGAACTGTTTTATCTTGGTTGCACTTGTTATGAAGGTTGAGCAATATCTTTCATTCATTTAATCAAATTCTACATGTTTGCAGGTATAGTTCCCTTGGCAGCCTTTGGATGGGTTATGGCGACACACTTGTCACTTTATCCTGCAATCCTGATTGTACCGGTACGCCATTTTGTTAAAGATATAAGCTCAGTATTAAGGCATATGGCCATATATTGTCTCACTTTTTTCTTGATTTTTAATGCTTGAGATGTTTCATATCAGGATATCTCCCTTCAGACATCTCATTGGCTTCTTTTACGTGTGAGATATGACAAACCATGGCATGAGTGCCTTGATCTGCAATGTAAGTATTTATGTCCATAATTAGCTTTGTTGTCCTAAGATGCTTATAGATGCCAGTCGTTTTACACTTTCACTGGGTACTTTCTCCTCTCTGCAGCATTTATGGACTTGGTACTACATTCAAGTAACGGAAACACACTGAAAACAGTACTTATGCTTGCCGATCAAATGGTAACTACATGATTCTCTCATTCTTTTTTCTTGCCTTCTTATCTGCAAGAGATACACCTGTTTAAACTTAAGAAATGTTAATATATTTTATTTCTTGTTGTATTCCAGTCATCTGCTATAATGTTTATTTTTCATGTTTCTATGCAGATCAATCGAGTTGAATATATGCATGCGAAGGGCTTCCTTCACATAAAGATGGTTCAATTTTCTACAAAGAACCTTTTGCTTGACTAATTTAAGGAAAAGTACAATCTCTTGGTGCTAAGATATTAGTTTGGATTGTGAAAATTTTCAATGTAGGGTGTGGATATATGTGCGAGATATTAGTTATGAAATGTGAAATTTGAATTTATGGAAGTTTCTTTAAATGTTTGTGAAATTTGGATTGTAAAATTTTTGAATGTAGTGTATGGATGTATGCGAGATACTAGATATGGAAAGTGCACGAAATTTGTGAAATTTGAATGTATGCGAGATGGTTGTGAAATTTGGATTGCATATATTTTGAATGCAGTGCAGGGATTGTATACAAGAAATTTTGCATGAAATCAGCATAATTTTTTTGGTGAATATATAACATCCTTGACGGGCATGCCGTCAGGGATAAACATCCTTGACGGCATGCCCGTCGGGGATGTACATAACATCCCTGACGGGCACGCTATTACTGACGGTAGCCCGTCAGGGATGTTTCTTCCCTGACGAGACTTTTTCTGACGGCGTATCCTTGACGGGAAGCCGTCAAGGATACGTATCCCTGACGGAAAAATTAGCATCCCTGACGGGAAAGCCCGTCAAGGATGCCCATTTTTCTACTAGTGTCGTCAGGGATGTTTCTTCCCTGACGGGACTTTTTCTGACGGCGTATCCTTGATGGGGAGCCGTCAAGGATACGTATCCCTGACGGAAAAATTAGCATCCCTGACGGGAAAGCCCGTCAAGGATGCCCATTTTTCTACTAGTGTTTCTTGCCTTGTGATTTCATTTATTCTTTGATTCTTTCTTCTCTAAAATTCAATTTATTATCTCTTGCACATAAATCAAAACAACCACTCATCAAAATCACACTTATTCTTTATTCCTAATTGTCACGCACAAAACATAATAACCATTTCTAATAATCTCTTAAAATCACCTTCCTCGTGGGATCGATATTTTTTTATACTATAACTTGATAAATTGTGCACTTGCAATTTTGGTACATAATTATGCCGCATCAAGTTTTTGGCGCCGTTGCCGGGGAAAGGTGCTAAAATAGGATTTTATTAACTTGATTCTTTAACTTGTGTATTTTTCTTGTGAAGGAACCGCTTGGAGCTTGAAAATCTTGGATTGAAGATCAAGAATTTGGAGCATTGCTTTCGGGTAAGTCTTCTTTCTAGTTTTCAATTCCACCCTCTTTAGCTAGCTTCACAATTAGAGACAATTAGGATTAAAAAAAAGATTTTATTTTTTGTTGACCATAATAAAATCTACCTTTCACTTGGATATTAACTAACAAGATAATAAATTCAAACATGAGTCATCTTCTCACATTTGATTGTTGTTGACCATAATTTAAAAAAAAAGATTTTCTTTTTATCATCCTTTTTAGTCGCTTTTTAATTTCTAGGGTTGCATTTCATATAGTGTAGAAATTCACCAAAGTGATTGTTGCACTTGATTTGACACACACTTAAAACATTCTTAAGGGCAAAAACCCCAATCAAGATAAGGTAAGGGATTTCATCACCCTTTCCTTAGCCCACAAATCACTAATTCCTCACTTCACAAACCCAAGCCTTCTAAAACTCATTAGACGTTGGCCCCTAAGGATTCGAGCTCAATAAGGAACAAGAAATCCTTAAGTGAACGGTTTAAGTTTTCTCAGAATAGTTGGTGTCTAAGGCAAGGTTTAGGGGTTGCGTAAAGCGCTCCGCAAGGAAAGAGGTACTTAATTGATCTTTGATCACCCTCTAGTACTATCCTTACCTGGCTAACTACCTGGGTAAAACTTTGATCTTTTCACTGTAGGAATTTTTGGTTAGGAGCTGGTCTAGTGGAGTTAGGCTAAACCCTAGAGTTAGAGTTGATTGAAAAGTGATTGCCTTGATTTGTTTTAGTTAGGATTTTTTTTTCTTTATCTTCTCATATAAAAAACTAATTTTCTTTCTTTCTTTCCTTTAAAAAAAACTAATTGCCTTTATTTCATTTAAAAAAAACTAATTTTCTTTCTTTCCTTAAAAAAAAAATTTAGTGTATGCAATTTTGTGTTCGGGATAATTTTCATCGTTTAATCCGTGTTGAACCAATCCAAGAAATGGCAAATCAACCAGTTCTTCAGGATATGTATTACCCCACCAGAAATGCAATTCCATCTTGCATAAGACTCCCCGAAGTAAATGGAGCAAATTTCGAGCTTAGACCGCATTTCATTAACATGCTTCCCAAATTCCTAGGTAATGAAACAGAAGATGCATATATATTTATCTCGGAATTTGAGGAAGTATGTATTATGATTAAAATGAGAAAATTAACTGAAGATGCGATTAAGCTTAGATTTATTCCATTTGCTGTAAAGGACAAAGCTAAAAAATGGCTGTATAGCTTACCGATAAATTCCATCTCAACTTGGGAGAAATTTGTCACTGTTTTTCTCAAGAAATTTTTCCCTATTCACAAAACGGTAAAGCTTAGGAACAGCATTCAGAATTTCAAATTGTCCCGGGAGAGCCATTCTGGAAATACTTTGACCGATTTAAAGATCTTTTAATCCAATGTCCTCATCACGGTCTAGAAAAATGGCGATTGTGCCAAGTCATATATGAAGGATTGGATTATTCTTCAAAAACATCTTTAGAATCGACGTGTCAGGGAGATTTTATGAGAAACAACGCCGATGAAGCTTGGGAATTCCTAGAGAGTCTATCTGAGAAAACAATGCAGTGCGAAAACTGTGATGACAGGGTTTCATCTGTTTCCCAATCTAAGTCTAGTGGTTTTTCCTTAGAGTCAAACATTGCGTCTGAAGCGAAGATGGTGACGATTATGCGGAGGTTAGAAGCCTTAGAAGTTAAGGAACGAGCTCCGGCTCAAATCAATCATATTTCTGCCCCAGGATGTCATAACTGTCAGTCTCCTACCCACGTTTCAGAGGAATGTCCTCTTCTAGGAAACAACCATGCTTTAGAACAGATGAACGCTGCATTTCAGCGCCCTAGAAATGATCCATTTTCTCCAACCTATAATCCAGGTTGGAGAAATCATCCCAATTTTGCTTGGAACCAAGGAAATTCTCATGGAAACCAAAACTTCATTCCCGCGTCAAACCAACAATTCCCTAGGGGAAACGCTGTCCCGTTCAATGCACCGAACAATTTTTCTAACCCACCTTTTCCAAACCAACATCCTAATCCTCACCAGCCTACAAATCAATCAAATTCTGATCATGACAAACGTTTGAGTGTCTTAGAAAAGGGTTTAGAAGCTATGATCAAAGCTTCTACACAAACTACCAACATGTTGACCCAATCATCCACAACTATGAATTCATTCATGCAAACCACTGGCCAAGTGCTCAACTCGAACACACAAGCCATAGCCCGGTTAGAAACCTAACTTGGGCAATTAGCCGCTGCCGTGAGTGAAAGAGAAAAAGGAAAATTCCCTAGTAAACCTGTTACAAACCCTGAAGACAATGGATCCAGTTCCAACCATTCATCTCATGTGAATGCAGTACACACTGCGATCAGGAAAACAAATAGACAATCATGTTAGAATGCCACCGGATCAAACCCCTTCTCCCATTCAAAACACTCCTTCCGATGAAACAAATCCTTACAATGACCAAAATGCTGAACTTGAGATTGAGCCTGATCTAGATAGGTATAGGCCCGTTGCCCCCTTTCCAGATAGACTCAAACCTAGGAAAAACTCCCCGCAGGTTGAGAAAATCCTAGAAACGTTTAAACAGGTCAAGATCAACATCCCTCTCCTAGATGCAATCGAACAAATTCCTTCTTATGCAAAGTTCTTGAAGGACTTATGCACTAAGAAAAGAACCACCAATGTCCCCAAGAAAGTCTTCTTAGCTGCCAACCTCAGTGAAATTTTTTCGAAACCCATGCCGTTGAAATACAAGGACCCTGGTTGTCCCACAATTCCATGCGTCATATGTAACAATCACATTGATAAGGCACTTCTAGACCTGGGAGCCAGTGTCAACCTCCTTCCTTATTCGGTCTATCAACAGCTAGGTGTAGGAGAACTTAAACCTACAAGATGCACTCTACAGTTAGCTGATAGATCTGTAAAAATTCCCAAAGGAGAGGTAGAGGATGTTCTGATCAAAGTTGGAGAGTTCATTTTCCCTGTTGATTTTATTGTCTTGGAAACGCAGCCCGTTTCCAATCTCAAAAGTCAAATCCCCGTCATTCTAGGAAGACCGTTCTTAGCCACCTCAAATGCTTTGATAAACTGTAGAACCGGTCAGATGAAACTATCTTTTGGGAATATGACTGTTGACCTCAATATCTTCAACTTAGGGAGACAGCCTAGTGATCCATCTGATGAACCCATGGAAGTGAATTTCATTCAAGGAATATCCAGTGAACAACAAGAGGGAGAGTGTGAGTCTGATTCAAATGCATCTGATTTAATGATTGAGGAGCTTTCTGATGACGAACTTGAGATAGAACCGCTGGTCAATCATGTTTTTGCTGTTGGCTGGCAACGAGAACCTTTAGAGATAGAACCCCGAGTCCAGCTTCGCCCATCTGTGGAGGAACCCCCTAAGTTAGAGCTCAAACCTCTACCCGAAAATCTAGAGTATGCCTACTTAGGGGAGAACGAGTCTTTACCAGTTATCATTTCTTCTGAGTTGACTACCGGTCAAAAGGAAGCTCTCTTAGCTGTTTTAAGAGAGAATAGGGAAGCCATTGGATGGACCATGGCTGATATCAAAGGGATTAGTCCAACCATTGTTCAACACCGAATCCATTTGATAGATGATGCCAAACCTACTAGAGATGCTCAACGTAGGTTAAACCCAGTGATGAAAGAAGCCGTTAGGAAAGACATTCTGAAATGTCTCGATCATGGGATCATTTATCCCATTTCTGATAGTTCATGGGTGAGTCCAGTCCAAGTTGTTCCAAAGAAATCTGGGATCACCGTGATCCAAAATGAGGCTAATGAGCTGATTCCCACTCGGATCCAAACTGGATGGCGAGTCTGTATTGACTACCGAAAGCTCAACTTAGCCACTTGGAAAGATCACTTCCCTCTTCCTTTCATTGACCAAATGTTAAAGCGTTTAGCAGGACACGAGTTCTACTGTTTCCTGGATGGATATTCAGGTTATAATCAAATCCCTATCGCTCCAGAAGATCAGGAGAAAACCACCTTCACTTGCCCGTATGGAACATTCGCATACCGACGCATGCCTTTTGGCCTGTGCAATGCACCGGCCACATTCCAAC